AAAGATTGTTTTGTGGCTTCTCTTTCTTTTTATCTAAATTTAATGTTTTTAATTTATTTATTTAATTTATTTTTTAATATATTGTCTGTTTATTTGTTTAATTTAATTTAGCCGAAACTATAAATACAATTTTACCCATATAAACATACATGGGCTACTGGAAGGAGAGATAACAGATAGATCTAAATGCAAAGAATCATTCTAAAAACTTTATTATGTAAAAATCATAAATACTGACATTTAGGTACTTTTTTAAGTATAAAGAATGCATAAAGACATTTTTAAGGCTAGAAATAAGAAATAGAAATTTTTATAACAATTTTAGTGTTTATTAATATACATTGTCGCTACATAAACAACAAAACAATTCTTTAAATCTTTGAAACCACCCTTTTTTCTTCTTTTTTGCCAATTCTTTCGCTACATACCCTTCAGATTCTGCTTTCATTATATTTATTAATAAGGGGAATTCATCATTTAATCCCTCATCATATTCTTCATAAGGATCTTTAAAGGTTACTTTTTTGTGATTGTTTACTTTATTAAAATCCGTCTTGCATTTTTCTTGACTTAAATTATTTATCTGATCAGTATCTGATTTATTTGTGTCACTGTTGTAATAAAATTCAAATATCGAATTAAAATCATCATCTGTTCTATCGTCTGTATTTTTGATATCATATGTAGTTTGATTATCACTGAACTTTTTATGTGAAATAGTTTCGTGTATTGTGTCAGATTCCTCGCTTGTAATATCATCAATACTACATGACATTAAGCTTCGTATAAATTTTTTTTCACTACGCGTCGGTAACATTCTTCTAATATAAATGTTGTTCAAGTCATTAATAAATTCTTTAGTAAAAAATATTTTTTTTCTAGTAAACTGAATATCAATTAGTTGTACAATTATGTCGCTCTTTTCAAATATCTTACACTCATTTAAAGTCACGATCGTGTCATCTTTTTTTGTTAATTTACAATCATTTAATTTTACAATTGCATCATCATTTTTAGTAAGTTTATTATCTTTGAATTTCACTATTAAATTATCTTTTTGAAGAAGGTCTTCATTACTACCAATTACAAATACATTATCTTTTTGTATAATTTTTGCATCACAAGGCACCAAAAGTACATCATTCTTCGGCATTTCAACTTTTTTACTTCCTTCTAAAGCTTTCCAAAAGTTTAAAACATTTATAAATTTACTATTTGAACTGTTCATGGGGCTAATAAAAAAGGAATTAATAAATAAAACTAATAAATGTAAACAAAAAAAAATAATAATAAAGATGTCTATAATTAGGATTTAATTGTAATTTAAGCAATTTTTTTTTGTGATGTATTTCTAATTTTTAAAAATTAATTTTTAATATAACCTTAATTTTACTTTTTAAATGTATTTCTGTAAATATGTTTTTTTGTATTTGTTTACTTCGCGCCTTTTATTTTCTTATAAATGTAAACATTAAAAAATAAAATTAATGAGGTCAAATAATTTTTTATTTTGAATCAATATTAGTTGATAAATTGTCATATAAAAAAATGTTT